TCATCCGGTATTATAAAATAAAAAGAATATTGATAGTACACTAGCATCCAGGCTCAGTTAACTATTTTTCTATTTTTTTTTAGTACCTATTATTGAAAGTCGCACTAGTGTTGTTGTGATGTCCTGATACTGCTTGGAAGATTATTCATTATGTGACTTTGCAAAAAATAGGTTTTCTCCATTTTTTTTGGGAACCTTCATTTTGAGCTCATCATCGCAACTTGAAAAGTGTCTCTGCGTCATCTAGACATGCCGCTCTAGGGCAAAATAGAGTTTTGTTGCAAACCTACAATCAGGCTCAAAACGAAGGTTTGGCATGGCAACCAGACGCACCTTTAAATTCATTTAAGGTTACAATCGAAGTCGAGTAGTCTGCATCTTTTCTGGGCGCTCTACGAAGCGATCACATTTTTGATGCAGTGCTGGTGCTGGAATAAGCCCATGGATCTGTGTGCCTTCAGTGCACACTACGTCGTTCCTATACACATTGGCGGTCCTGGTGAGGCTTTTGGAACTAGAATTAGCAGGAATAATGCTGCGATTTTTGAAATTTTTCGTGGACGTGTTGTAGCAAAGGCGGTTTGGAAAGATAACCTGATCAATCACGTGAGGGACGAATTGGGGCCACTTGGTGAAGGCTCCTGTCCTAAGTATGTGGGATCAGTTGAGATGCGTGTACTGCACTAGACAGGAATACAGAATGGAGGAAAATGGGGTGAGGGAAGATTGAGCAAAACAATGACAGTGAAGGAACGGAAGATGAAGTGACCCTACTTGGCGTGGGAACGAAGTGATATCATATCTATTATTTTGCGGTCCGAGGCAGGGACGGGGTTTCTCGCTGGGAAGGGAGCCCTTACCACCTATACCAGTACACGAAAATGTGCCCCCCCCCCCCCCCAAGTAATCTACTTCTGAATGAGACTTGTCCGTGTAAAATTCTCTAGGAAAAAAAACCTTGTGAGACGCCAGCAAAGTCATGACCTGTCTATCTCGGCGCTATCATCGGAGCCATGTCTTAGCATTTCGCCCTGCACACTGACGTGCCTGGGCATATAGAATCGACACCTATCCTAGGAAATGGGTTTGCGAGCCGGTCGTGACTATACCAAGGGTTTTTGGAGGAGTACTTTTGTTAAAACTATGATAGTTTGAGGCTAGCAAACAAAATTTATGGTTGGTCTTGTGTTACAGAATCTGCTGTTTGGCATGTCTGAGAAATTGGATAGAAGGAGAAAAGAAGACGTATCATGGAGGCCGGTTTGCTGCGCCTGGGGCTCGCTTACCCAGCAATCGGCGTCTACGGTATAGATTTTTAAAGGGAAACTGGATGGAGGCGGTCTCTAGGGTTGTTTTGTATCAGGCTATGGTGAAGCCTTTGCGTAATTTTCGGACAGGGACCTCTTGCGTGGTGGAACAGTAACTTATCTCTATTTCTGGTTGGTAGCTTATCCCTCGTAACTTACTTCTTACCTACGGGCGAACAGGCAACCATAGATACACGAATCCGGAAATTCCTGTGCTCCAACTGTTCCTCTCTCCTCTCCTCTCCTCTTCCCTTCTCTTCTCTTCCGCCCTCTCCTCCACTTTGTTCTCCTCATCATCTCTCCCGGCCTTCTAACCTCTCTCCCACATCCTTCCAATAAGACAACGAGATGCTGTATTTTTCCAGCAAATAGAGTCAGTATCCTTCGTCCCCGATATGGAATAGATACAAAAGAAATAAGGACTACGATAGCCTTATGATGTATGAATCAAAGCTTTATGACAGCAATGGGCAAGTGGGGATTGTTGACTTGTAATAAGGGCTTACCTCATGTTGGGCCATGTTAGGTCCCATGTGCTATGCCGCCAAAGGAGACGTTGCTCCAGATTCGGTGTTGGTAATCGAGCGCTGGGTGACCTCAGACCACTCCTCCTTGATGCCGGGTCCCGACTCCACCCTCTAGAGTACCGCGCATGGGTTGACAGACCCTTCGTTGCTTGTTTTCTAATTTTCTAGATTACGTGACCTCATCATATGTTATAAGCCTCATGAGGCAATAACTCTCTTGTTTCCTGCCGGGCAGTGGTCCCGCGGGACCAGGAGAGTGTTGGGTGAGATTTTGGGAATGTCAACGGTAGATTTCTCCAAGTAGAGTGACGGATACATGTTCAGTTCAAGTTGGCCGCTCGGGCCGTGGGGGATCGCTTTTAAAGGGGCGGCCGGCGGGCGATGTTGTTGGTTGGAGCCGTGGAAACTTCCTACATTATGTTAATCTGCAGGCTGGGATACGGTACAGGTATGGCACTGTTGGTCATTCTCAAGGGTGACTTAGAGGGCGCGGGCACTGAAGGCAATTTTCACCAAACCTCTCGGAGTAGGTTTAGTCTCGGGGTGGTTGGCAGTTGTCAGCCAGGGATCCCTCGCCTGTGTGATTCGGTTGCTGCATGAAATGAATACGATTTGTTGCTCGTGGCTTGTTTGCACTGTATTTAGCTTTGTGTTCAGTCATAGGATGCTCATGTGTGAGCAATATTAGGCCTTCTTTTCATATGTTTCCGTCCGATATAGTGGGAGCCTGTCAAACACTATTGCCTACCATGACTTATTTTCCGTACCCTTATCTTGCAGTATCTATACATGTCTAACTTCGAGGAGAAAGGCGCTTTTCGGGAGCCGGGGGATAGTACATATGCCAAACGGAGCATCGAAAAAATAAGGCCCAGTGGAGAATAAACCATCCGGTGTGCTCCAATTATCAGCTAACCAAGGGTGCAGAAAGTCAATACCGCCTTTGATCCTATAGAGCTGGGGATCGTCGAGACGGACCTCATCGTTTGAGTTTTTATTTTCTCTTGCAGACGAGAGCAAGGAGCAGAGGAGCGCAACTTTTGCTCTTGCAATGTACCACACCACATCATGTTGAGAAAGTCCTTCTGCATATATCCCCTGCAATTCTCCGGGGCTAGGGGAAGCGTTTTATGTGGGAGGGGGGATATATTATAGAGTCATACAAGCGGTATAGCTAAGGTGAACTAAACGTTGTGAACCAGAGTTGGCTGGCTGGGGGGGGGGGGGGGCACATCAATCCGACTCTTGCTTCGCTTATGCAGCCGGAGCTAGCCTTTCTAGAGCACAGTATTTCAATATGCAGTTGAAATTCCTGTCTGGGAGCCACCCGTACAGCAACTCCGAAAGGTAACTTGGCCCGCGCCAGAAAAGAATCAGGCCAAAAGGTGTGAATGAAGCCAACGCCCTCCACAGCTGACATTACAAGTACAAAGGTTGAGAGCATTCAGTATCTTGACTCTTTCTGTGCTCAAAATGCTGGACAGCGTGGTTTGCAGGATTTCCTAAAATACACTACTGATCGGTATTAGAATCCCGAATCAAGCTTTTGTGCAGACCAGGCACCCCGGCAAAGCAAGAAGAATCCCGGGAGTGTGAGGAGGGTTTTCAGGGCTTCCTAATTTCGGGGAGCTAAGATCGCATTCAGAATGACGAAGGAGCACAACCCACTCAAGGACGTGGGGGACTTCATGGTTCAGCAGGCGGCAGGAGTTTCGAAAGGTTCTGTGCTTTTTTTTTTTTCTGGAGGATTGATCGCAAGATCCTTTTTTTTTTCACTAAAACTCTAACTGAGACCCTCATTTAGGTGCCCCCACTGGGCTAGGAAAACTGGCTACATACCCTATACCCCAAGCATTATAACCTCCAGAGAAAATCTGATCTGTGATACAATTCAACCCCCTTCCAAATTGGGGAAGACTACATTTTTAGTTCACCTTCACCTGCAGAGGAAACTCGGGAAGTACCCGCGGTATCCCTTCGTTCGTATGATAAGTCGAAGTTCACGGAATTTTGGCTTGTAAGCTGGTGCAGCACTACTCTTAAGGGGGTGTTGCCTAGGTCTTCTAATAGTGACCCGTCTAATAGGAGCTTCAGAGACCTAGGATCTGTTCAGACTTTACCCAAATATGAGAGGTTGTTCTCCTATTGGGTATAGAGTGATCCCGGATATGGCTTATTCGGTAGAGAAAAATGGATTTGACAGGCAGGTGGACTTACATGCAATCGACTTTCGTCTATAGCTCTGGCCGGTGGAACAGGAATTATGTTTGAATATACTCAAACTAAGAAAAGACTTATATTTATCCCAGTGGCACAGGGGGTTTAACAAGTTACAGGCTAAAGGCTGTATTAATGGTGATAGTTGGACATTGCTCGACCAGAGCTCAGGTCCTCTATATCACGACATAGAAATTTAGGCACTATTCAGTGGCATTCAACGTAATAATAAAACAATAGAAATTGAAAAGGGCAAATGTTAAATAATCTTTGCTCTATTTCAGAATTATAATTCAAGCTGCTTTTGTTTTCAGGCACCCAAGGGATATCTATGCGCCAAAGGGAACTAGTACATTGGTTGCGAATATCGGGTTCTGAATGTATAAAAGTAGCTCTGTTTTCCAAACAGACAGAGGCAAGTATGTCAACAGAAGAGAAAGGTACAAACAGTTTGTAATCAAGCTCTGGTATTCCTTGGGACCACTTTAAACATGATCAGTCTAATAAGTTGTCTCATACATGTGACTATTCTCTTCTGTTATGTAAGTTCTGAGATAACCATTCCGGCAGGTGAAATTGTGGTGGGATGGAGCGTTTACCCTGCCTTCTATTTTTATCAAACAGGCCCTAGGGTTGAAAGACCCTTACATGTGCAATGATTAGGCAACGATTAGGTGATTTCTTGTCTTAAGGAACTTCGAGGTTGTCCTTCTCCACATTATAAATATAAGAGGCCCCTCCTCTGGAAGGGAGCAAGTAACTTCCCTGGACCACCACCACTCGGAACAAGGAACAAATCAAAGTGCACTAACCAGCATTGTGCAACACCCAGGCAAGTATTATTATTTTTTTCATTATTTCATTATTATACCTGATTCCATAGGCGGAATCTAAAGATTGAATTGCTAAACACGGCAAGACCTGGTAGTGGGAAAGCAGTATCTCAAACATGTTCAAGTTTGCTAGCAAACACGTATCCCAGCCTAAGTGCTTCCACCAACATCACGCTCGGGTTTCTCATATTAGGCAGGAAATTACTACTGTACTGGTTTGTTACCTGCACTCATTTCCTGCTGACATTATACTAACTAGTTGTGAAGGCTCATAAGACTGGCAATCATTATGGTCCCAATATCCACTCCTCTCTTCAAGTTCCACGCACTTTTTCGACTGAGAGCTCTGTGTGTCCAACCCCCCAGGCTTTATATGCTACCTGGGAACATGTCGGTCACTTGGAAAGGGTATTTATAGACTCTAATTTGAGGTAAAAGTCATACTAACATCATACTAGGATATGTCTAAGATGAGAGAAATGATTGAGAATCTCCGGACCCCCTTATATGAGGCTGAAAAAACAAAACCCCACAAACGCTGCAAAATGCTTAAGGATATGGAAGCATTGCAGAACAAAGTCGAAGATATCAGCAGCGATATTGCAGCTCGGAGGAAATATGATAGCAATAAATATCTTCCTGGGCGGGTAGATGAAAACTTTAACTATCAAATGTATTTCGCTAGTGGTGTCTTGGTTTCGTTGTTTCTCTTCAGCATCAGGGATCTCCTATGGGATTCATGCGGACGCCGTCTGTTCCTTAATAAACCTGCAGGGGCTGCATGCCAGCAAGGGGATAGTTAAGGATGAAAGTGGGGAAATGTCACTGGGTGTTCTCTCCTAATGGGATGATCTAGAATAGTACGTTATTATAGGGCAACTGATCTATAATCTTTTTCAATACATGGAATTTCTAGATTCGCTTCGTGTCTTCCATCTCCCTCCATCGATATATAATGTATTATACTTCTAGTAAATGTATCGGGATTGTCTGAACTAATGCATTGGGAATGAGGCCACAAATATATACAGTACATATTAGACATTCCACAAGTAAAACTATACTTTCGGAAGAATGTATAGTAATTCTAGCTACCTGAAACCTCGTTCCCTCTCCCCATAAAACATACGGAAAAGGAGAGATGTAGCTGTACAGGGGCAACTCGATTCCGGAGCCCACCTCCTGCTCGCTGGACAAAATTCACCTCCTCCATGACTTCCTCCTATCAAACGATGGAAATGAGCAATGGCAATATCTGGGGTCTCGCAGGATAATGGAGATATATCGGAAACCACCACTCCCGAGAGCTTCCTATCTATAGTGTCGCCATAACCAAGCGCGTTTTACGATCCCCACCACACTCCCAGGCATTCCATAGAATACACGAATCACCTTCCTTAGGACTGAGCACTTTCGACCAGAGTTTCCAAGGGGTAGGTGATGGTATGATAATCCCCGTAGTGGTATGTGGTGATGTTGAGAGCACAGAAATGGCAGAGAGGAGTACCATACCTGCTGAATGCACGTTCTACCTCTGCTGGCATGGATCCGGCATTTGGAATAGCCTTGTTATGGTGGATACTAGAAGGATTACTTCCATATTTTCTTGAAATCTGAGCCTATTCATTCACCTACTCTAGATCGTATTGTATCGCTTTATCAATGCATCTCTACTGTGAAATAACTACTCACATGGTAGGATCAATCGATTGTTCCAGTGCCCACAAAATACCAAGAGGGCTCTAGAAAGAACTCGTTAATACTGCAGATGCCGACTAGGCCGTGCCGATAACGGTCGGGCCCTACAGGCAATGGTCATGCTCTGGTGAGGACAGCCAGAAGATGCCATTTTTATTAGGACTCCTGGGCCCTAGCGTCAATCCCTAGGACGGCAGTATTTATGAAAGACGGACGCCATGCCCTGCGGTCCTTACGCACCCTGCCCGGGACGACCGGGACTCCAATCCCGCCAGTGCCCTGTAGGGCGCCCGGGACAGCCGGGAACACTGGGTGGTGGAGATGGGAGTGACGGTACGTGCAAAGTCCGTGACTATGGGAGTTGTAATAAAGGTGGCGGCGATGGCGACATTCCGATGAGTAAATTGCGATAAGTTGTGAAAGTTGATATATGGGTTCTAGTTACTGAGAACCAGCCCTCACACTTGCTTTCAGGACCCTGATTTTACTTAATCTCGATTCCTACAACTTCCTTTGCCTTCTCTTATTCAACACGTGTATAACCCCATCATTTGCTACTTTATTCGTTGCTTGTCCCTCATTGCCTTTGTTAAAAAATTGCAACACTGCTCCCAGAATTTCGCTCTTCTTATTTCAATCCCTTGGTTTGCGCAAAACTCGCATACTGGCTGGAGATTGGCAGTTCTACCCAGGAACACTGTGGTAGGATGGGTTGCCATCAGCCATTTTTTAGGGATACTGGATGTTGCACTTCTGTCCACTGAAGCCTCCATACGGTAGCGGATTTCTCATAGTTTCTTTTACCAGCCCGCCCGCTATTATTCTTTCACATAGCTCTGTTTTTCTCATCCACTCTCCGGAAAAGCTCCGTACCGTTTTCCTCTTTAGTAGAAATCATTCCTATGCTGCTATATACGTTCCCCAAGTAGAAAATATTAATGTCTACAAATTCGGCTGTCACCCTCTCTCTTAGCTGCGTAGGAAAATCGGTGGATATACCGGGGAACAGACACTTCCTCCGTAGGATTAATACCTCCTTCCCTGCCTGTTTTCAACTGTCATGTGATTGGATATGGAAGGACAAGTGGGACTGCGAGTGCGCGCTCGGCGCTCTCTCCTCCTTCACCGTGTATGTGAGGATCAGAATAGCGCAATTATCCAGGGCCAATAAACCTGAACCGCACCTTGATCTGAACAAAGTAACTTGCAGCGCCAAGAAAGCAAAGCATCTCCCGGTGAGAACCCGGGCGGGACGAAAGCTTTGGGGAGCCAGAGCCCTCTCTTAGAACCACGGGGGAGGGGGCGAAAGAACGACTAACAGATACTTATACCTAGAGTTGGTGGAGGAGCGGAGTATCACTCACACCTTATGCTGCCTATGCGGTAGGGGGACGCCACGGTGTAATGATCGTAGAAGGAGGGCCGGGGAAGGGGGGGTTTACCAACTAGCTGTCCTGAAATGTCAGGTAGGTATCAAGCACCTGAGTGAGGGGAGGGTGTAGAGGCCTGAATTCAAACTATAGTAGCGATATTTGGTCGGCCTTCTGCAGATTCCGGATATCGGCGAAGTCCGTATCTACTCGGGTACAAGCACCGGTACTCGTACACTACCCCCTAGGGGAGTATGCAACCCTTGGACTAGTACGGAATGGGCAGAGCACTTGAAACAGAACCGTGCATGACCGGCTCACTTGCAGGATATGATACTAGGCCGCACGGGTATCCTGATAGCCTTGACTTGATTTATCTCAGCCATTACGACATCACTTTCCTCCCTCTCCTCCGCTCACCGCAGCCAACACTATTCTGCTTGCTATCCACCGGTATATCGACAGCTTACCTACACTCTACTTTTATTCACCAACTCGTCGATTTCCACGACTACTACCTAACGCTCACGGTGCCGTTCACTCACTCTGGATTGTTCCAGACAATCCGGTTGTAATGCGCTTAAGCCTTCCAACCTGCCTTCTGGAGGGCAAAAAAGTGTTGAAGCCACAAGAGATAGTGTGTTGTGGTTGGTCATGGAAGGCACAGGAAGTGCGGTAGCAAGACAAGGTTGTTTGCGCAGAAGTCATGGGAGTATGTCTCAGTATTTAGCAGTATGATCGATTTGTTTGGAGGCTGGAAGCGGATTCTAGAGATATGTCTTTCCTGTGTTATCGCAGATATGGGCAGAGGAGTTTGGACATGGATGGAATGACAGAGATGGGTGTAGTGATCCATGGAGAGACCAGATTGCTTTGATGATGTTTCCCTTATACGCCTATCATTACCGATTAGCTAGAGAGGATGAGACGAAGTACGCACCTTTCTTAGTTATCCCACCACAGCTATTTTCTCTACTGTTCCGTTCTATTACCGCTGCGCATTCTGAAAGCAGCCTCCGTCACAATAAAAAGCTCTTTCTATCAGCCTCAGCGGCCCCCCGCTGATAGTAAGATTACATGCCATCTATAACTCCAGGTGAAAATATTGTCGGCTGTACACTCGTGACCCCCCTACTTGGAAGCAAATTGCCATCCACGATATTATGCTCCTTTCGCTATAGAGAGGGCTTCCCATGACCCTCCATCGCATTCTGGTTATTACTGCATCTTTTACGAGAGCCGATATATTAAATGGGGTGCCACTTGTTTTGGCTCGCGTGCTGATATTCCTCCTTCTACTAAAGTGGTTCGGTTACTTTGATCTGCCAAAGCCGTTTACCATCGTCGGAGAAGTAAAACCAGGGAGGCATGAATGGTATAATACTAGCTACTATTCCTCCGGGGAAATCTTGTAGATCCGTCATGGTTAAATAACCGCCTAAACTCAAATATTTTATTCTACAAACCTTTTCAGTGACCTTCTGAATGGCTGGCAGCATGCATGCGAAAGGCATGTTTCTCCTTATTCCCAGTCCTCCTTCAGTTGTAGTGAGCACCCATCTCCATTGGGCCGTCCCCAGAGCCCCCAAGGGGCAGATAGGAGATACCAATCCCACCCACTATGTTGTCAGAACCCCCCGCAACACAGCGAATACTGTTGATCCCCGAAAGAAATAAAGGTCGCCCTTTCGGGAACTCCCCCGGTCTCATTAGGAGGAGATAGACTTTTGGATAAATAATCCACAAAGACAGCCAGCACACATATTTTCACACTCCATCAAATGCAGTACAGAGATCGTCTGAGATGTCTGTCAATGTCTTGTTGTCCCACTTGATTGCAGGTGCATGTTGGTTTCAACAAGGGTGAGAAGCCTTGTAGCTGCTGCCACTACACTGAGAATTCTTTAGGTCATATCGCAGTCAGGTCTCTTGGAAAGGCTCCTAGTGCACAATTCACCAACACTACCAGGAACTCCAGAAACAAACAGTGTTTCTCGAGAGCCGACCACATTACCCCTCAGTATATCGTCAGGTTTAGAGAAATCCATAGGAACCTCTGGTCGGCCCATATATGTGGAGAGGCCATGCGAACATTTCGGTCCCAGGATCTCCCCAGACCGGCTCGAGTTCTTCAATCTAGAGATCTATAACTCTGCATTTATAGTGCTAATTCCGTCCCCCCTTTTCAAACAGATGTCACCACCCATGAGGAAAGGCTCGGTTTAAACTTTATGCTGCCAGGACTTGTAAGAAGGAATCTCCATGGCGTGCCGGATGTTCGCGATTTGGGGAGGCGGCGCTATTGTCACTCCTGCGCCATCACCTAGGGCGCCTATTACACCGACTGCATCTCCGCGCCTCCCCTTCCGGGCTTCTACCCGCCTAAAACATTCCCCAATCTGTCAACCTCCTAAGCAGAACCCCCACATTTGGCCCCAAAAGCTTCCTGGGTATACCGGCATAACGGCTTTCTCTACAGACGGGGCTGATGTGTCAGAGTCGAGGAACAGATAGTGCCCTCCTCTGTTCCTCGCTGTCAAAAAGAAATAGCAAATTGTGGAGTGAGGACACCAGATGTTGTTTCCTCCGACCAGCCTTTATACCTTTGATGTTGCAGCTCCAAGAGTATGCTCCCCGACTAGCCCACAGACCCGACCCCGTGACTCGCGCCCTAACGTCCGCAGGCATTGCAGAATCCTGTCACGGTATCCGGGCGAGTTCTTGCCTCCGTAGTTATACGGAAAAATTGGAATAATTGGCCCATGTGCTACGTCGTCAAAAATTCCCTACTCGGGAAAAGGGATGGAAAACAAGAGCAAAAGGTGAGCTATTTAGCCCCCTGTGGGATTTGAAAAAACCAAAAAAAT